AGTATAAAATTCCCAGATTTTTGCTGAATTTCGTCTTTTATTAGATATTGATAATTCTTCTTGTTCATTATCGCTATTATTATTAGTACCAACAGCATCTATATTTATTAACTCTATTTGGTCTTCATTTATTATAATATCCTAAATAAATAAATAAAATTGATAGATATCATGTAAAAAATTTACTTCCATAATAAAAATAAACTATAATTATAAATAACAGAAATATTGATATCACAGTAGTATTTGGAAGAAACAACAGATGTAATCAGTTTTTGCAATGAAAGTAAAAAAAATACCACGATATAATTATCCACGATAAACCCAAATAATTATGTTATTTTTAATATTGGTATTGGTATTGGTTAAAATTGTAATTAAACAATATATCAAAACCAATAAATTTAGGTAATTGGTATTGGTTGTAAAAGCAATACCAATATTTATATATATATTGGTTTATATTGGTATTGGTATTGTAAACCAATATTATATTGGTATTGGTCCCACCCCTAATTATAAGGGGTTAAATATAGTCATTGCTTTTTAAAAACTCATTGTAGCCTAATGATTATTTAAATATTCCTGACCACCTAAAACCTCCCGCCTACTTAGATTATAAATATTACAATCAAGAGATATTTAAACTAGCTTTTATTTGATATCCTTATCGATATTTTATGTTGATAAAAATATTCCTGATCCCCCAAGACCTAGACCGGCCCTATATGAGCGATTACTATTATTACAATAAAAAAATATTTTAATTACCTTTTATTTGATACCCATGTCAAATAAAATTATTTTTTATACTCCCTCCTCTCCATTTACTCCCAGACCAAGTCATACCCATCAAGACCAAGAATAAACACTTTCAGTCAAAAGATATTAAAATAAGCTATTATTTGATACCTATATCGATATTTTGTGTTGATTAAAATATTCCTGACCCCCAAAACCTAGACACGCCCTTTATGATCGAATATTATTATTACAATAAAAAAATATTTTAATTACCTTTTATTTGATACCCATATCAAAAAAAATTTTACACCCCCCCCCCCCCCGACCAAGTCCTACCCATCAAGACCAAGAATGAAGACTTTCAGTCAAAAGATATTAAAATTAGCTATTATTTGGTACCCATATCGATATTTTGTGTTGAAAAAAATATTCCTGACCCCCCAAGACCTAGACCCGCCCATTAAGGGGGAGAGATTGACATCCAGTTGAATAGATCTTTTGATTAGCTATCGATTGATACCCTATATTAAACATATCTTATTTCTTAAGGCCAAAAAAACAACATTGAAAATAAATAACAATTAATTTTAAAAAATTAAGCAAAACGCGCGTTAAACGCGTTTTAAATTAAGATTCTTCTATATCATGGTTCAAACGTGATACGTATAGTTCTTTATCCAAAAAATTGAATTCTTAAAGGGATCCCTTTAAAATCCGTGATGATCCTGGATAGTTCTGACTTTAAAAATTACGACATACCAAAAAGTCTAATATTTGAATAAAACAATATATTTAATAACCAAATAATTTGAATCCTCAAAAAAAATAAATAATAAAAACCAACACCATGATACCCCCTTCCTTAACTTGATCCTTCCTACTACCGGACATCTAAATGGGATTCTACTTGGCTTGGCCCTGTTCATTTTTACTGTTAATACTGAATTATTTATCACCGTCAATATCGCTGCTGGACAAACCTTCATTAAATGATTCCCTCTCCATGCCTATATCTTTGTTACCTATCACCATTTGTCCTAACCTTGCCCCGTTTCTCTGTTTGAGTGAGAGATATTAGCGTATCTTGGATCATTCCTTACCTTTGTAGCATTTCTCCCATGGCAGCATTCACCCACTTTCTAAATTCTGAAGAACCATCTAAATCTCTGATCCCTATCTTGGTTATATTATTACTTAATCTAAAATATAACGCCATCTACAAAAAGAATTAACATTTATAATATTCCTTATCCTTATTTCCATCTCTTATCTCTATGAATTAACCTTTCTTCTTGATTTGCTAAGCTACCCTTCGTTTTTAACAAAACTCTCAATTCAAAAAAATATTTTGAGATAAAAGGTTGGTGTAGCCTGGCCTGAACTGCCCCATAATAATTTTAAAAGGTTTTTAAGTTACATACATGTATATTTATCTAGCTAACGAAGCACCTCTATCATTAAAAATCTCAATTTTCTGGTGCGGTTAACTCCTTTGGTAAATTTATTTATAAAAAAAATAAACAGAGTAACTCCTTGTAATACCACTAATGTACAAAATCCGTAAGGTTTATTGATATTTGTACATAAGACAATCCTCAATTATATAGTACCAAAATGACCTATGATTTACTATTAATTGTCCGAGTATTCAGAATGGCCATTTAATTGAGGTCCGTGAATCCTCGTTCTAAAAAGGAGGGTTCAGTGAAAAATTCTTGAAACAGGTACCGGTTCATCCAGAAAAATAAGGACATATAAAGTTTTGTAAAAACAATAGAAATATTATTTTAAAATAAATTTTATTATATTTAGTATTCACCATAAAAATAATTTATCAAAATTATAAGAAATACAATACAATTCAAAAAATAATATTTTATCTATTTTTTAATTATGCGATATGATATCTCCCAAAATCTAGATGTTAAAATATAAAAGAAATTTATCCCTAACTTTAATAGTGGATTTAATAAAACGATTTACCTTGTGACTTTGTTCTTTCTTATTCCAATTATATCAATCATTTTAACTTCCTTCAGTAAAATTGCTTAACCGTTTTTCATATTAGAATCTCAAATTTACAAGCAATGGCAATCCTCAAGAAGACTGCTTCCTAAGACCGAGTCTAGTCTAGCTACTCTTGAAGCTAACTACATAAGCTTTCATGGCAATAAGGAGTTTCCTAGAGCTCCCATTCCTTCCCTATTTTTTTGTCGGGTTTATGTAATAAAAGTATTTTAAAAAAATTCAACAAACAATAAATTTTCCTAGTGGTAAAATTTTAAAATAAAATCTAAAAAAAATAATTTAACGAAAATTAAATTTTACAAAAAAATGTTTTTAATTAAGGCTGTAAACCCTCCTACTAAAAAAAAGGGTTTAGGTTCAGTAAAATATCTTGAACCAGGTTCGGATTCGTGATCGAGGAAAATAGAGACATATAAATTTTTTTTAAAATAACAGAAACATTAGTTTTTTTTATATGGTATCTTCCAAAGAGATGTTAAAATTAAAATACCGATATTTTATGCCTAAATTTGACATTGCATTTAATAAAATTTTACATTATGGTTATTTTCTTTATTTGGTCACTTTTAATTTAATAATCCAATAAACAAAAAAAATATTCTTAAAATATATTATTAAAGTTACAAAATATGCTGGTAAAATTCGGTTAATGATGCTTACTACCAAGTGAATGTATGGAAATATTCTAAATACCAACCTAATTTGCTAAATACCGACCAAAATTTATTAAAATGTAATAAGATCCTTATTATTTATATATTAATACGGAATCACGTGGTCGAGTCCGGCCTCCTATATGTTATCCCCCCAAGGATGGAACCACCAAGTTAGAATAAGAAAAAAAACATGATCATTCCTGGGATTCGAAACCGGGACCATGGGATAAGTAAACTAACCTCTTGCCTACTAGGCCATAGAGCCTTTCGAAAAATCATATATTATAAATATATTTGGTAGTGCCTATCCAAATGAAAAATGAACAAAATTCAAATTTGATAGATGGTACCTTAAGGTACCAAGCATCATTAACCGTAAAATTCTTACATAAAATGGAATATTCTAAAATATAATCTTATCTAATCTAGCACGTTGGTCATAAACCTGCCCAAAATGAGCGAACGTGAATTTTATGAAGATGAAGGCCCACCCTTCATAAAATTATGCCGATTTTTTTCTCAAGGATACCAACAAACCTTGTACCCAGTTGTAATTTAACTAAATGAGTGGAACTTACCCTTTCCGATATTGTAATTGTAATTTAAATAAATAATAATATAAGGCATATATATCTTATTTGTTTATTATTCTTGAATAGTTAAATTCATGATAAGGAATGAGTTAAGAATATTAGAATCTATAGACATCAAAATTCCATTTCATTTGTTAGGCTTAGGATATTCTTCCAAAAGATGAACCGGAAAAAAATGATTTCTCTAAAATATAATAAAAAGGATTCGAAGAAAAATAATTCTCACCAAAAACTGCTTTTATATTAAAAATAAATTGTTATTAATTTTAATATAGTTTTATGTTATTTTTATTTTTTAAAATAAATAAAAATTTAATATTTATAAAAAAGTTATTGAACCGGGTAATATTGAGGGTTCGAAAGGTTCTGGGTTCAGGTTCACAACCCTGTATTTAATATTGAAAATAAGAAAAACAATTTGTGAACCCTGGTCATAAATTATAAAAAAAAGTTCACGTTGAATAAAATATCGAGGTTTCGGGTTCTCAGCTCTGATTTGAATCAATAAGATTACAATGTATGGAAATAATATAAACAGTTGGTGTACAAGGACCAGAGAGATCACTTTCAGTCTTTAGTCATTACATCAAAGAATTCGGGATTCTGACTTTCGTATTAGATAGTATTATATCTGCAATTAGCCAGAAAAGGGCTATGAGAGCGTATTCAAGAAAATGGAGGGCTGGTTTAACATCGATTCCGATAAAGAAAGATAGTAATTTAAATTTTAAATATTTGTACACAAAAAAAGTATATATATCTATCTCAATGAAATTATAAATTTCAAAATTTTATTTAGTTAAATCATTCCATTTTAGCAAGCGTTTTCAAAGGTGTCATTTGTTGGAGCTAACCACCCCATATATTGATAATAACAAACTTATTACGACCAGAATTCTATAACATCCTTAATAATAAATAAAATATGATGAATAAAAACTTAAATGATAAGATATATAAATTTATTGTTCGTCATTCTATAAATATATCAAATCAAAATATAAAGTATTTCACGGTAAATTATTATTATTCTATCACCCAAATTTAAACGCAAAATATGTATAAAATAATTAAATATCAATGGTATAAAAAAAAATATTTTCTAGAAATCACAATGATGAAAACCGTTGAAAGTTACATATAATTAATTAACGCGAATAGGTGATGTTCGGATCAGTGATAATATTGTTAAAGGGAGGAACAGAAAAGTTAACGAATGGTGGCATTCCTCCCTGAATATTGAAAGCCTGTTGGATATTAGGTATAGGGATGTTATTTAGGTTATGCAAGTTAAGGGTATTGTTTAGATCAAGTTGGGGAAAATAGTGCTGTCCAGCAATCAGTTGGTGATATAAATGGTTGTGAGATTGAATTGTAGACGAGAGCGAGACTAATGGTGGCGGAGGGGGTGGGGGAGAATCCGATCCGCTATCGTTATTATCCATGGATTTTTTCTCGTCCTTGCGATGCTTCTTATTCTTTTTATCCGCCTTTTTATTCTTACCTTTCTGTTTTTCGCCCTTCTTTTTCTTTGTTTTACTGACAGCGTTCGGTTTCGAGTCGGTTTGAAGTGGGGGAGGGGGTGGAGGCGGAGGAGAATCGCTATCCCGATGAGGCGACAAGTCGAAAGATACCGATTTTTTAAGCTCCGACTTATTGGAACCTTTTTTGGCAGAAGATTCCGAAATAGGCGAAGTAAGATCTATGTGGGCTAGTAGAAGTGAGGTTATGTTACCCAATAATGAGTCTTTTGTAGCGTCAGAAGATATTGGAGAGGTAAAGGTGGTTTGAGGAACAGTTTGTGTTCTAAGGTTGGGGTGATTCGATGAAATATCAGAAACGTTATGCTCTATAGAAGGGTTGTTGTCTTCGGTTAAATTGAAATAATGTTTAGGTAAATCGTCATTAAGAGTCTTTGTTATTGCTTCCATAGGATTTTTTTGGGAGTCTTCGTGGATGTCGTTAAAACTAAAGTCAGATTCGTTCATTTCAATATCGTTTTTCTTGCAATTTATCGAATTCTGCCCAATCTCCGTCATAATTAATTGTGAATTTTCGCTTTTCATAGTATTTTTTACTTTTTCCTCTTCCTCTATTTTGAAATATTTATCCTCCTGCATACCGAAGTGTGCAGTTGAATTCAAATTTTCACCAGACGCAAGTTGGTTAATAAGCGATGGTTTCGCTAATAAGGCGTTTAATTTTTCCAACAATGGAGCGTTGGTTAAGGATAATGTAACTAGATTAGTTATAACCGATATTAGTGGCTGAATATCGACTGAGTTAGTGCTGGAGGGTAGTGAGATTGAAATATCTTTATTAGTTGTCGCGAAGCCCGCCGAGGTTGAGGCGAGGAGGGATTGAATTATGGTGTTAATGGAAGCGAAACCGGGCGTTGTTTCTGATAATTTATTATGTTATCAATCGAATTAGGTTTTTATCAATAAAATGCATATGAACGAATGGATAAATTTTCAAAAAAGGGACGAATCTGGGTGATATAATAATCGGTGAAAGGAGCGGTTTAAAAAAAAGTAAGAATAAATACGAAGCAAATAGTACCAAGATTTGAATAAAAAATAACTGAGTATAATCCATCTCACCCACATAATAATCCTATATTATATTACATTACATATAATACGTTTAAAAATTGTTATTACCAATGGCACCGCTTTTGAAAGATGCTTCACTCGCCTCTGCTGGTAAGAGCACCGTATCATTTTCATCATCGTTATTATCGGTAGCATCATTTTTGATATATACGCCTGAAGTTTTCGTGGATATAGGTATGGAATCATTTTTGACATATACGTCTGAAGTGTCCGCAGGTATAGGTAAGGAATCGTTTTCGGCATTTTTAATACAAGCGACATAGCTTGCGATTGAATCATCGATTGCCTTCACAGGTAATAGTATAGTATCATTTCCATTATCTTCGTGTTCTGGTGTGGCCCCGTTTTTTAAAGTTGTGAAATTATTTGGAGGTATAGAATCTTGACAATGATACTGTGAATCTTTATCCAATTCCGATGATAAAATAGGAACAGGCTCTATTAAATCTTGGCGATGATCATCTAAATCTACATCCCGATCTGATAAAATAGGAGAAGTTTTGGGGGATACGTGATTTATAAGAGGCACGAAGAAATTTTCTATGGATGCCCAATTTTGATCAACAAAATGACTCTTTAAACTTTTCGAATCAATTTTAAACTCCTTTAATAATGCATTATCCTTCAATGATAATAAGTTGTATGGATTTGTGGAATAAGGGATAATTTTGTTGTGCCTTGAATCTTTTTTAGTGTATTTTACTAAAACCTTCGGCCATTTCAGGTAACTGAAAGAGGCGTTCATATCTTCCTTCATATTTCCTTCGCTATTTTTTCTTGGAGATCGAAACGAATAGTCGTCTTCGACAATTCGGAAAGGAGAAAAGTGGGAATGATTGTCAAAACTTGATGACAGATATAGAATAGAGGGATCGCTAGGGTCCGAAGAGTAAAGGTCTAAAAGATTAGATGATTTGTTTGAAATGTAGCGGATGACATTCATCGTTTCAATCGTGTCCATGTGAAAGTCGCTTAATTTTTTTTTATTGAGTAAATTATAAAATCTGAATAAATCTACTAATTTTTTTTAATCATTTGTTAATTACCAAACAATTTGTCATTTTTATAAATAAAAAATAACAATATTTAATAAAAAAAATAACAAACATTTTCTTTGAATTATTTTATAATCCTATATGCCAGGATACTTCATAAGTTTGAAATGATGCTATGTTAAATATTCAAAAAATATATAACCAAAAGAATAAGATATAGCAACCAAACAATATTTTGGAATTAGGTCTTGTTTATAGTAAGCTAACAGTAAAATTTATAATCCATAATAATTTAATCTTCAATGCATTGTTTGGTCATAATAAGCTTTACTTATTTGCTTGTTTTTTTTAAATATCCAGCAATGCAAATAAATGAGGCCTTAGTTTAAATTTAAACAAATAAGCAAAATAAAGGCGGAATAAATAAATCATAGTAGAGATAATATCTTATAAATTTTATTATATGCAATAAGGTGATTTTAATATGTGAGTGATTCCACGTCAAATCGACCAAAAAAACGAGATTTTCAGACGACCATCTCAAAAATGAATAAAACTTGGCATATAAGTTATTTATGTTGTAAATGTTATTAAAATCAAAATTTTAGAGTGCTAGCTCAACCAGATCCAAAGATATACGTTTTCAAAGTCGAAAATCGCGAAGTGCGTGATTTCATTAAATCTTGTTATTTTAAAAAATACTTAAGATAGAGTTACAAATTATATATCATTTTATAGCCTTTAAAATTTTACGTTGGAAAATATAAAAAAAAATTAAAAAATTTAGTGTTCGATAAAAATAAAAAATTAACATTGTTAGGAAGGGATTTTTTTGGGTGTCAATATTCACTAAAGATGTTATTACCTTTATATTAAACGATTTAATAAAAAATCTCGATAGCCATTTTTGTTTTTTTAATTTTATTTGAATTTTTATAAATAAACAAATGCTATATAGATGGCGTTATATTAATTTTCTTTTATAATATATAATTTTTAATAAAAGTATGAATATGAATAGTATTGTGATTAAAATTAAAAAATCAATTGAGTATAACCAAGAATAATGTGCTGGGGCATGTAAGCAGACAGCCCATACTGATATTATTTTATTGACGCTATATTGTAAAATAAACATATTTAAAAATTATATATTCAAACTATTATAATTTTGCGCTAATTAATAGAAATTTCTAAGGCCATAATTTGTAGATATATCCTTTCATTGTTGTGGATCTATTATAGTTTTTATTTGAAAATAACGATTTATCAATCATCATATATTTCAAAACTTAAACATTTTTTACAACCAAATGAATTTATTATAATTTGTGATTTCTTTGAAAATTATGCATTTATAATCTAAGATGCTGTTCAAAGATTCCACTGGAATAATAATCAAGCCACTATCGATCCTATGATAGCATAGTATAATAATAATGACAAAAACCTTAATTATATGGTAAAATCAGTCACTTCAACATAATGCTATTGCAGTACATTTATACCAGACTAAAATGATAAAATTTTTGACCAATCAATTCAGCAAAAAGCCAAACAAAATATATTACTGCTCTGTCGGATCAGCTGCACAATATAAAAACAGAAATTTTTTTATAAATCTGTGTTATCATGAAAGATTTTGGTGTAGCAGCTGAATGGCATTTTTCAGCTGCATCCCATGGAAAAGGTCCATGTGACGGCCTTGGCGGAAAATTAAAAAGATTAGCAGCACGTTCAAGCCTTCAGCGCATCAGTTCTGGACATATTTTAACGCCAGTTGATTTATATAAATTTGCAAAACAAAACATACCATCAGTAAATTTTACATATATAACCAACAAACAATACAATTTACAAGAGATTAAACTACGAGAAAGATTCAGTTTAGCTCGTTCCATTCCAGGAACTCGGGAAATACATGCTATATTTCCTTTGAGTTTAAGTAAACTTAAATCAAAAATATATTCATATGCAGAGGACTTTCAAATTAACAATATCTCAAATGCCGATAATTTGTCTTTTGCCGATATTAAAGGATTCGTAACATGTGTTTATGACGATTTTTGGTGGTTAGCCACAGTACTAAAAAAGAATGAAATTACTGAGGAGATATATATTTCCTTTTTACATCACCATACCCCAAAATTGCGGAAAAGATATGGTTACCCATTAATCAAATAATAACAATAGTAGATCCTATTACAGTGACAGGACGTACCAACAAATTATTGTCTCAAGAAATTCTATTAATAAGCACAAAATCGGATAAGATTAAAACAAGAGGTATTTATTTTTATTTGTTTGTGTTTAAAATTTTAAAATATGTTTATTTTACAATATAGCGTCCTAATAAAATCATATCTGTATGGGCTGCCTGCTTACATATCGCCCCAGGACATCATTCTTGGTTATACTCAATTGATTTTTTAATTTTAATCACAATACTATTCATATTTTTATTAAAAATTATATATGGTAAAAAAAATTAATATAACGCAATCTATATTACATTTTTTTATTTATAAAAATTTAAATAAAATTAAAAAAATAAAAATGGCGATTGAGATTTTTTATTAAATCATTTAATATAAAGGTAATAAACGGGCATGACTAAAATACGCGTCCAAGGTGAAACGGGTTTAAATTATATAATATTAATAAAAAATCTTATTTAGCTTTATAAGATGAGTTAAAAAATGTTTTTTATGATTTAAAAAAAAATGATAACAGTAAATTTTTTAAAAAATTGTTTTTTTACATCAAAAAACTACGCGTCCCCGGTTAAGATACATTTTTTTTTAAAAAATAAAAGCAGATTCATATTTAGCTCATTAAATGAATATAGAAAATGTTTTTTATGATTTAAAAAAAATGATAACTTAGTAAAATTTTTAAAAAATTATTTTTTTAAATTAAAAACTACGCGTCCCCGATCAAGTTACATTTTTTTTTAAAAAATACAAGCAGATTCATATTTAGGTCATTAAATGGATATAGAAAATGTTTTTTTTATTTAAAAAAAAAGTTGTAACTTAGTAAAATTTTTAAAATACTAATTTTTTACATAAAAAAAAGCAGATTCATATTTAGCTTATTAAATGGATACAGAAGATGTTTTTTTTTATTTAAAAAAAAGTGGTAACTTAGTAAAATTTTGAAAAAACACTTTTTTTCTTCATTTTTTGACTAAAATACGCGTATCCGGTCAAGATACGTGTTTAGTTTTTCAAGGAAATTCCGAAAATGATATTTATAATTTTATTTTTTTTTAAAATTATTTTTCGAAAAATTTTTTTTTGACTAAACTACGCGTCCCCGGTCAAGATACATTTTTTTAAAAAAAATAAAAGCAGATTCATATTTAGCTCATTAAATGGATACAGAAAATGTTTTTTTTATTTAAAAAAAAGTGGTAACTTACTAAAATTTTGAAAAAACACTTTTTTTTCCATTTTTTGACTAAAATACGCGTCCCCTTCAAGATAGATTATTTTTATAAAAATGAATATAGAATCGAAATTATTAATACCATTTTCGGAATCTCCTTAAAAAACTATACACGATTCTATATTCATTTTTATAAAAATAATCTATCTTGACCGGGGACGCGTAGGGACGCATATTTTAGTCAAAAAATGAAAAAAAAGAAGTGTTTTTTCAAAATTTTACTAAGTTACCACTTTTTTTAAATAAAAAAAACATTTTCTGTATCCATTTAATGAGCTAAATATGAATCTTCTTTTATTTTTTAAAAAAAAATGTATCTTGACCGGGGACGCGTAGTTTAGTCAAAAAAAAATTTTTCGAAAAATAATTTAAAAAAAAAATAAAATTATAAATATCATTTTCGGAATCTCCTTGAAAAACTATACACGTATCTTGACCGGATACGCGTATTTTAGTCAAAAAATGAAGAAAAAAAGTGTTTTTTCAAAATTTTACTAAGTTATCATTTTTTTTTAAATCATAAAAAACATTTTCTATATTCATTTAATGAGCGAAATATAATTCTGCTTTTATTTTTTAAAAAAAAATGTATCTTGACCGGGGACGCGTAGTTTTTTGATGTAAAAAAATAATTTTTTAAAAAATTTACTAAGTTATCATTTTTTTTACATAAAAAACATTTTTTAACTCATCTTATAAAGCTAAATAAGATTTTTTATTAATATTATATAAATTAAACCCGTTTGACCAGGGACGCGTAGTTTTTGGGGACGCGTATTTTAGTCATGCCTGTAATAAACATTTTAAGTGAATATTAACACTCAAAAAAAAACCCTTCCTAACAATGTTAATTTTTTATTTTTACTTGAAATAAGAAAACACTTGATATTTTTTAATTTTTTTTTTATATTTTCCAACATAAAATTTTAAGGGCTATAAAATGATATATAATTTGTAATTCTATCTTAAGTATTTTAATAACAAGATTTAATGAAATCACATCATGTACTTCACGATTTTTGACTTTGAAGGCGTAAATCTTTGGATCTGGTTGAGCTAGCACTCTAAAATTTTGATACATAAATAACTAACATGCCAAGTTTTCAATCATTTTTGAGATGGTCGGCCAAATCGCTGGTCAATTTGTCATGGAATTACCCATGTTGTCACAAAATTTCAATAGAAATATAATACCTATCATCCATTTTAGGACTATGGGGTTTTCGGCTTGATTTGGATGTCTTTAAGGAATTTAAGTTTGGCAAATGTTCTGGACTCTTAATTTCACTTCCAACATCTTTTCTATCAGGTTGGGTCTTATCATTTTTGCAAAATTTAGGTGACACTTCATTATAGTTACTATCATTTTCTTTTTTGGTAAACTTTAAAGGCTTAGATAACTTTTTAGGTTGAGTTTCTTTAGACCAGATATCCCTTTTATGCTTTACTCCATCTCTATCAGATGCTTTCTTAGGTGATATGGCAGTCTTATCAAATGATTTTTTCCATGTATCCTCTCTCATATTCCTATCTTTACTTCTCTTGCGTTTTGTAACACTTCTTTCCCTCTCCCTAGAAGGTTTCCTATATTGATCTTTCTCCTTTTCATGCCACTTAATATTCCTCCTTAAATCTTCCTTATTTTCTTTTTTTTCCAATGTTTCTTTTTGTTCCACAAGTTCACTTATTGACTTGGCAACACTAGCCAAAGTTTCTTGAAGTTCTTGACCTGTTTGTCTGGGTATTTTAGGTCTTATAGGTTTATTAGGATTGTTAATTTTCGGATTAGGAAAAAGTAAATTAGAAGTGTTAAAAGGTTGAATTGATGGAAAAGGATGAAGTGAAGGAAAGGGATTTAGTTTGTTTAAATCATCACTGATAAGATCTTTTATTGGTACTTGAACTCCAGAAGATAAATTTAGTAAAGGATCTTTATCTTTAACCAGATTGTTAGAACGATCAATATGAGCTTTCAAAAGTAAATTGTGATGAGGATTGCTAAGGTCAAAACTAGATAGATTTAAATCAAGTAAAGAAGGCAGACCTTTAATTGGGGGCAATAAAGGGGGTGTTAGATTTGGTATGGATAAGGGTTTGTTAAAGTCAGTTGGCAGGTTAATCTCAACATCTAACAAGGAAGGAATGTAAGGTTCAGGCAGATATATTGAAGGTTTTTTGACAGAATTAAGTTTAGGCTTGATATTATCGATTATTATATTGCTAGGATTTGGTGTTGTAAAATTTGAATTTGTAAGAGTTTTTTCTTCTAATAAAATATTTTGGTTATTTTGTAGATTCTTGGTCTTCAAATCATTTCCCAAATTGGATCTTGTATGATTATCTTCAATATAAATTTCCTTAACATTTTTATTGATAATGGATTCATGATCTTTAAACTTTTCACTCTTATGTGATTCATCATCAGATAACTGTTCCACAATGTCATTGGTATATTTTTCCTCTGAAAATATTGAAGTAGTAATTATATTTTGCTGTTTAATAGCAAATGAAGGTGTTAGAATTTTACCTCTTTTACCAAACAAGGGCATTTTATCAAATGATTGTTTTGATATATTATTGTGAAATTGGGTAACATCCGTTTTTTGATTATGTTTATTAGAAAAATTGTTATCAGTATGATCTATCATAAGCTTTTTTGATGCTTTAGCAATTAGATTTGCAACTTCATTATCTACAAATTTATATTTATCACCCAAACTAATGTTATCCTCAGGATAAGGCAAGGAAGGTATAGGTGGTGGTATAGGAATATCATCACATTTAATATTAATAGAATAGTCTTGATCAATATGTATAGCATCCGAAACATCATGATCTTTGAGAGGGACAGGGATTAATGATAAAAAATCATCACTTGCTTGAAATCTATCAACATCACTATGATTAATATAAAATTAATGTCGAAATATATATTTACTTGGTAAGATCTCTAACTGGGGAAAACGTAATCGAGTTAGTAGCATCTAAAGAAAAACCATCTTTACTCTCTGAATTATCAGGTAAATTATTAATCAGGGCATTTTCTCTACTGTTTAAATTTATATCGGTTGACTTATTTTCTTCGTTTTCAGAATCGGACAATGCAAAAGGATCATATTTCTGGCATGGAGATGATGTCATTTTAGTGGAAAATCAAAATGGTCATGCAGTTTAATTTAACTGAGATTTGACAGGGAAAAGGAGAATTGAGAGATGGGCTTTGATTGACAGATAAAATAAAAATTGACAGGCCTTAGTAAAGATAGGTATGCATTTTTGAAATATTGAATAAATTTATCCCAGATCAGACAGTCCATAGAAGAAATTCTCTCAAAAATTACGTTTTCCTCACTATAAATTTCTCTCACATTGAAATGGGAGGTATTGGCATTTTCTGTTCCACTTTTAATCTCAGATTTTATCTCTTTCTAAAATCGATTCATTGGTTACCCACAACCTAATCAAACCTCTCATGCATCCTCAAAATTTGGGATATAAATAAATCTAAGTTTTCATTATCACCATCTTAAACGCGTCAAAGGTATTAGACTACAAATTACCTCTTCAAACAAACAGCCTGAAGCTGAAAATTAAGTCCATATATATGGAGAACTATAAATGATTGAAAGCAATTTCCAACCAAAATCTCCGTATTTTTCTTCCAACTAAAAAATTGAGAACATAAGGCTATCATACGCATTTTAACGATCCCCATAATAAATTTTCTTTGTAGACATTCATGCATTTAAGAGATTCAATATTAGGTATTTTATAAATTAAAGTTATTTTTGTCATAATGATAAAATTATTCTAACAAATTGAATATGTTGTTAATAAAAAATATTTTTATAAATTTAAATGTTGATTTAATTTTGATTAGAATTATATTTATATAAAATAAATTTTAATATAATTTCAAATAGAGATAATGTAAATTACATATTTTTATATATTATTATTCTAATTGGTTTCATGTAAATGTAGTAATACAACTACTAATTTATAAACAATACGACTACTAATTTATATTTCAATTTATTTCAAACATCAAATTTATATTAATTAATTTTCGAATATTCTATTCTATTTTTATATATAATATCTATGAATAATATTTTATTAATTTATTACATTTCCTTCAAACATTTTAAAGTTAGATTTCTTCTATAAACCTCTTTGTAGGTTTACGGTTTCTTGATGAACAACGTAAAGTGGTATTTGTATTTGTGTTTGTATTTGCTTCATTCACTGGCACAATCATTTCTGTTACTTCCAAAGAACTTTCATGATTTGGGATAACTAAACGATTTCTTAACTGATCTGCATGCTTCCGTAATGTTTTCCCAGAAGATTCAACAATATAAGAATAAAGTCCTATTCTTTCTTTAATTACTCCCTCTCTCCAATCATTGGTATTTAACAATATAGGTTGTGAGATTTTAAATTCTCTTTCCTTTGAATGTAAATCATGATGAAGGCTTTGTCTATCATAGGCCATTACTATTTCTTGTTCGGCATTTGGTCGGATCCAATCCAGACTTGTTTTCAATTGCCTCCCAAACATAATTTTAGCAGGAGATCTCCTTGTGGAGTTATGCTCTCCCAATTGGTAGTGTTAAAACCTGTGTCATAGCTTCTTCGGGATCGCTAATTGAATCTCTCGTCACATAATACCGACCTTTCAAAGTTCCAGCTAATCCATTAGTTTTTGGATGATAGGGTGCCGAACGTATATGACGTATGTTAATTAAATCACAATATCTACTGAATTCCCCAGATAAGAATTGTGGTCCTTTGTCTGACACAATGTACTTAAGTATCCAAGCCTAGCAAACCATTTATTTAGTCGTTTTATCATAGCATCAGCAGTTGCATTAGATCAACTTCTAACCATGGTCTATTTTTCTGGCATCCAGAACATATTTTGATAAAATTTTCTATATCAACATCACATCTGGGCCACCAACAATACAATCTAAAAATAGATTTCATTATATTTTCCCCAGGATGTCCCCGGTGAATCAATACTAACACTGCATTTCTTAATTTATTAGGAATAACCAATCTCCCATTCCATTCTATAATATCACGATTGACAGAAAGCTCTTCCCGTCGATTATAATAATTAACTAATTCTTTATCTTTATGACGATCAAAGTTTCGCCAATTTGCTGAATATGTATTGCTACTTTTTTTAATATTAAATCTTGCTTCGACTCTTATCGTAGAATATTTTCTGACAATTGCATATAATCCAAATTAATACTTCGAATATCCAAAGCATGTTTAGAATCTTGATTCTCTTCCGAAATTTCTTGGTGTTTATTAATCATATCTTGAATTCTAGAATCTAGTGTTATGCAACATTTTTCTTTTTCAATATTGTTGACCAAATTGCGTATTTGTTTAATCATTACCTGACGGCATTTCTAAATTGAATGCTATAATCCATGGTAATACGAAAAGTGGCACCCCAGTTGTATTCATTATTACCACTGATAGGATCCTTGTCTGTGATCCAATCCTAACATTGACTTGGGTCTCGCCCTTAACGTTTAACGGATGATCACCATATGCAGTCAATGGACTGGTTGGCCTAATTTTTGGTCGCCCAATACTTGTCCATATATCAATTCCTAGCAATGACGATTGTGCATTATTGTCAAAATCAAATTCAACATCTAACCCATTTATCTCTACAACTACTAATTTAAACAATACGACTACTAATTTATATTTCAATTTATTTCAAACATCAAATTTATATTAATTAATTTTCGAATATTCTATTCTATTTTTATATATAATATCTATAAATAATATTTTATTAATTTATTACAAAATTCATCGAAACTTTTATCGCGAAACTTGCGAAACTATTACCTCGAATATCGTTAATCGCAAATAGATATTATAGCAAATCTTTTATCGTGAATCAACATTAGCAAATACTATCCTGCAAATACAATATCTTGAAACAAATGTCGTAAAAAACCCTCATAGCCATCAAAATGAATACATTATATCGAATCGTTTATCATGAATTAATAATCGTGGAAATTTTATAGCACAGCAAAGCCCAAATCGCGAAGACAATATAGCGAAAACTATTTCGCCGAACATATATCTCTAAGATAATTTATCGAATTTAATATCATGAAGTTAATATTGCGATTGCCAATAGTGACTATTTTGTGACATTTATTTCCATGATTAATTAAAATGTTTTTAAAATGGGTACAAGATTAATTGAATGATGGAGTTTTTATTATCTTTTAGCCTTAATAAATTTATATAATTATTATTATTTGGTTTATAAAATTAATTATTTAAATAAAGAAATTTGCTATCCTGCCCGCTGCTTTTCCTCGAAGTCTTATTATATAAGAATCGCCCACAAGGAATCTAGGCTTTATTAATATGATCATTGAGATCATTAGTTAAACCTTGATCCTTATTAGCAAAAGAGATATCTGGGTTGCTCTAATATTTATTGTCGAAAGTACTTAATATTTATAAATTAATCAATCAGTTTTACCAGTCAATAACCAAAATAGAGTTATAAACTATTAGATTGTCTTTATTGAATTTTGAATGGCGATTCAAAAATAAATTACATCTAAGTATAAGGGATTTCTCTAATTCAAAATATTTGGGATTTTATGATTTTACGATCTTTAAAGATATTTTTTTTTATCTCTTCTGTTTACTTAGATATGAAAAGACTCACCCTTGAGCATTAAATTTGCCTAATTTTGGCGAGCATTAATTTTGAAGTTTAGCCAATATATAATGCTTAATTGCAATATATATAGATTGGTAATACAGCATATATTATTTTTTTTCCATTAATTACTCATAATTAAAACTACAAGTAATTATTACTGAATTCCTAAAAGATGATTTTGCTAAGTAAAATTTTTTATTTCTGGTATTGGCAGCTCGAGACCCGTCTTCCATCTTGATATTTTGAGGGTGTTAAGGTTGGCAGGGAATTAGACATGATTAAAAAAGTAATTTTAAGATTTTTATTTATCTATATTATAATTTTCCGATGTCTTCACTACGTCATCGCTACGTCATGTCATCGGTAGGTATTTATTTTTATTTTTTCTATTTGTTGATTTTATTTATTTATTTTATACAAACAGATGAATGGAATTTCGAGAATTGATGGTGTACACATACCTAACATGGATTGAGAGATTTGAAAAATCGTCTTTGAATTGATAAAAACAATATTCCCTCAACTTTGTAAATATGAATGAGACTTTTTATTTCACTTAATCCTTTCTTTATTTTTTAGATTACCTTATCAATTTTCATCTCATATTATCAATTACACATTAATGAAATCTCTACAAGATACTCAACTTGTATATTCATTTTGAACATACTCACAATTTTTGTCAGTACTTACATTACAATTTTTTATACTCACATTTTTCTTTCATAACCAATAATTAAGAAGATAACCAAGTATATTCAAATATTTAAATATTCGTATCCTAACCTATTTATAATCTCTACAAATAACTCTTTCTTTATTTTTTTCCCCTCCCTTAATGAATTTATTTCTCACTAAATGTTATTATCTCATTCCTTTCTTTCTATCTCTATTATCTATTAACCACTATTTCTCAAAACCTTATCAATTCCTTTAATTTAATTTTTATAATATAATAATTTATACCTTCCCTTTTGCCCCCTTTTTTAATCTTATTTTTTAATTACCTTACAATTAATTAACCTTAATCTTAATAACATTACATTCATCATGTTATTTTTTAACTTTTAGAATATCATAATAGGCTTGATAAGTCCCCCAAAATTTTTTGATGACAGCCCTCCAACTACTAGAAATATGCATCTAATATTGACCCATCTACTGGTTTTACATTGTTTTAATGTTTGTTTAATTTCAACAATAGTTTATTTATATTTTTGCCTGATTTCTTTATTTGTCTAGGCTAACCCTAATCCCTCACATTGCTACAAAACATGATGAATCTATTATTAAAGATAAGCAAAGAAAATAATGACGATTAAACAAAAGCCTTACACATTATAGAGTTACTGGTAGACAAAATAATAAAGAACTACGCTTGAAATGAACTCATCTGGAGGTTTACTATTTTTTTTTATATTATGTTTTATATCTACGTTTATTTTATTTTTA